CGTTTAAGCTCACGTTACAGTACCCAGGATATCTATATTTAGCTGTTATCAATTTATTTAGATTTAAAAAATAGCAAATTCATAAATTATTAGTGTCGTCCATCTACCAGACGACGACGGTCTGCGCTTGAGCCTGTCCATTGCGCGTGCGTCATTGGAGAAGGACAGCTTATACCTCTGATTTTCTATCTCGCTCCGTTATACTGACGTATTTCGAGCTGGTTTGTTACCTCTACCTGTAATTGCTCTATATTCAGCGACCACGTAAAATGTAACGATTCTTTTTTTCATTCGCTGCGAATTGATGGAAAATGCATGGATATAGCCGAGTATGACTTATTTTGCTTGTGAATACAGAACAATCTTGTTAAGGTTCTTGAATAAATCACGTCCCATGATACTAATACAGCAAACTAATCTCAATATTTAGCAGAAGCAAAAATAAATTACCAACAAAAATTAAGAAGAAGGAAAAAAACTATACACTATGAAATGTATCTTTTTTACTTTTAATGACAAAGGATCCTTTATTTTTGGCTGATTACAATTTAATACGTCTACTTATTATCGCATTTAAAATGGCTTATATTATTGCAGTTAACTTCCATTTGTGTACATAATTGAAGCTCATGTATTATAGATGGACTATATTTCGAACGAATCAGCAGATGAATTAGAATAATTTGATAAGAACAATTTGAAAGAAAAAAAATTGGAAAAATTATTCATAAATATTATTCCTTTTCATTTTCACTAGATATGCTTGGCTTTACGTTAAGCCAACATCGACAGTATAAAATATAAATTTGGCACGAGATAAATCCATGGAGGTTGTTGGGCCGCCAAGCTACGTGATGCTTCAGTACGAGAGATATTTTCTCTTCGTTGCGGTAGGATCGAACCGGGTTTGTTAAAAGTCCTGTGGGGCTATCCGCGCCTCACACCCTCAGAGTTAAAATAAATCCAGATTAGACTTAGATCCGCGGGTTTATGGATCAATACGTTCATTTTTATATAAGAAGAATATTGTGCAAAATGTGCGTACATTTTCAATATGTATTTTAAGATAAGAGAAGTTATTCTGCTTTCAGATTATAAAAGATTCCATTGCAAAAAGCAATCATACTTTTTTATCTCTTTTTATTTAACTCTGCGTATTGTCTACTATTCAAATCTTATTGAAATTCATACTTTTTCATCATAATAATAAAGTAATAAAGATGTTGAATAAAAGAATATTCACGTTAGATGCCCTACTAAAGATAAAATAAATGTATACTTCAGTTTCAAATCCAGGAGAGATCATAAGATTAAACCAAATAAGACCTGGTATATTAAAATCAGTTCAGTGATTTGTTTTAAAGCGTGAATTTTTTTTATTGGAAAATTTGAGATACTATATTTAAATAACTTTCTTGTATTGGAAATAATTTTTCAAATTTGATAAGAATGTTATACATATTTTTCATTTTAACCGTAGATAGCTTAATGAATGTAACCAATGCGAATACATTATAAATTTAATGTATTAACCGTAATAGTTAAAATAAGAAAGTATATATGCTTTGGCAGTTATCCGTTTTCTACAAATTAAGCTTTTTTTACAAACAAAATGAAAATTGAATGAATGTATCCTTTTTAACGATGTAGAAGCTTTAGCCAACTTGGAAACTTTTATTATATTCAGTATAGAAAACCCGCTGTACGATTTTTCACTTAATCTGTTGAAATTTATTTATTGAAAAAGAAGGTAAGAAATACAGAACTTCAGGATAAATATCTAAACTAAACTTCAAAAGCCGTCTGAGAAAAGGTACTCGGCACGGTCTAATGAACAAGTGAGCTTGCTTCATTTTTTCCTAAAACAAAAAATATAGCGGAAATGTATGCTCATCGCTTTGTGGTTGGTTTTTCGCCCTCTCTATTTCTTTCAGTCTTTCTTTACACATTTTCACTCGGTTTTCCATATATTTTGTTTCCCTATCATATTTTCATTCTCTTTCTTACAGAGCTCGGTCCTTTTTTCATTCAATAGTTTTCTTTCTGGACGAAGTATTTCATTCTTTTTAATTAAAATTTAAAGAGAAAAGTTTCTATCATCTAAGTTAACGCGTAAAATTATTTTATTAGTCACACCGAGGAACTAATATGTTGAATAAAATATTCATAAGTTAAAACAAGAATAACTTTTTAGCTAATCCGATCAAATTAACATTATTTGCTATATAAACGAAATTATTGAATTAGTTTTTGTTCGTTAAAATGAAGTAAAGGAAAAGCTTAAATCTTTTTTTGTCTGAAATATAATATTTTTCAAAACTAGAAATAGCCTTACGCTCATCTTCTGCGTAAAGATAAAAATATTAATTTCAAGAAATTTTTTACTTTACGTATAGTAGTTTACGTATTTCTTTGTAGGTAAGACGGAATAGTTTTAATATTTGTTGCTAAAGTAGTCTGTTTATACCTTTTTATTGTAGATAAATCAATAAATAAATAAAAACTTGATCATGCCAAACTCTTTTTTGTAATTTATTATGTGGATAAAACGTTCATGCATAAATATTTCTAAAACAATAATATGTTAAATTAATCAAGCAAAATTTAAAATCATCAATAATACTTCACATTTTTTCTGTCATTTAAGTAAGTAGTGTCATTTATTGAATAACGCTAGAGTTAATTGGTTGAACTTCATTTTTAATTATTTTAGAACGTGTGTTAATTTAATGCATGTCTATATGAAATTACTATATATATAGTAATTTCAAAAGAGTAATATAATCTATTGTTTGCATAGAAAAGTTACGAATTAACAAATATTAATCGTCCACACTCAAGTAACATTCATTCTATCAGCAAAAGAGAGATCTAAAGTTAACATCTGAATTTTGATTCAGATTGTGATATACTTTTAAATTAAAGGGATGACCTATATTTTGGTGATTTTTTTAATAACGTAAATTGTTGCAAAATTATATTTTCTATTACAAAATTCCTTTATACTTGCGCGTAGACTTCTGATTACAAAACTTGACCAATGCATACCTACGGAAAATAAAGGTTTCCGTACGTTATGCACAGAAAATGTAAGTGGAATAGGGTTTACGCAAAAAATAATTTTTGTTTGCTGAATATTTTATTTTAGTCCTTCAACGTTAAAAGCAAGTATAAAATCTTTTATAATGTGATTTTTCAGAATAGATAATATGAAAACACTAGCAGGAACTTGAAAATATAATGAGCATCAACTTCGTCTGCAAAAGATTACAAGTGTAATAAAAGATTTTACGTGTTAAGGATTTATAATATTTTTGGAAATGTAAATAAGGACAAGATACTTTGAAAAAATCTCAAAGTAGAATCAAAACAAACTTGGTGCTCTTCTTTGTAATTTAATGAGAAATGTACGTGACGTGCGCTGTTGTTAAATAGAACAATCCAAATTGCAAATACTATTACTAAAAATATGAAAATGTAAAGGGACAATTGTGAACCATATTTCATCATCCATTTTACATTTTATTTATTATATCAATTAAAACTCAACCTTGCATTTTTATAAAACTATATCCATCTATTAATGAAAGATAAATTTTCACAGGTTGTTAGAGATTTAAATGCCATCAGTTGGCTTATACTAAAGTATTAAGTGATAAGAAGATTTTGGACCATAGAAATCAATACTGAAGGAGAGGACATCAGCTGCTGGTAAACTAGTTCCTCTACAATATCATGTGTATAGATAATACATTACATTTATAATGTAGGTAACATGATAACTACCGTCGATAACCCACTTGTTACCCGGTGAATACAGTCGGTAACATAGACTAGTAATATCTGTCGGCAATAGTAAAACTCGCGGTCGGTATGTTAACATATATGTTTTTATTTTTTTTTCATATACTCAGTTAGTAAATGAACATTTTTTAATAATTATTAAGTACCGTGCATAGATGATGAAAATGGTTTAAATATTATTTTTACATAAAACATCTGTACACGATTAGGAACTTGAAAAATAGAGCAGATTAATGAAAAAATAATTTAAAAAACTATATACAGAAAATTGAATTCAATATTATCAAATATCAAGCAATAGAATCAAACAGATGGTTTGTGTTACTCAGAAAACAATTAATTTAAATATTATTAAAATAAGTTATAAAAAGAATACATATATATTGTAAGTTTTAGAAGAGCATAAAAGTGTATTCATAAATGTTCATTAGTAGTAAGTAATTGATGTAAACTAGGAATTCACAATTTTTCTATCCTCTCAAATTTTAGAACAGCTTAAATCACTCAATTATGAAGTAGTACAAGTAAAAGAAGTTATTTATTCTTTTATAACTTTAAATCAGAATGTATTACAAAAATCATTGCAGTGTTATAATTACTTAAAGGGATGAAAGAGGTGTTTAAACTTGAATATACTCTATTAAATACGTTCCTTAATATTTTGCAATCTTATTTTTATGGGGCAGATTCTAATCATAAATTTTTAATTTTACAAAATTAATTATAAAAACAAGACATCTGAGCATCTGATACAAAACATGCAAACAAATTCTTTTTTTAATCTTTTTAAAAATTTGAAAAGCAATATTATCAAACGAAAACGTGAAGTAGGATAACATTTCAAGAAAAATACAATAATAATCTTAAAATGAAACATGCCAAAAATAATAGTAATACACATAAACTAATGTGACTTTCTGGAATTTTATAATTTATTTATGATCATAAATGATCTTATAGAAGACTATTAACACTGAGAATTAATTAGAAAGTATAATTTAAAAATTTTTTCAGAATATTTAAAAGTACTCAATATTATTAGAAAAAATATATACATTTTGTATATATATGTATATATATCATATCATATCAGATCAAGAATAAAAAATAGAAGGGGAACAAATATTCTTTAACACAACTACATGAGAAATGTATAGTGCAGGCATTTAGAAATTAATTACATATATTTCACAAACCTGTAATGAGTTTTTTCTTGTATTCTTTATTTGGTCTCTGGGCAACCTAAAAATAATATGCTAAATTAAAATTTGTAACACTATATTGCAGTTACATAATGTATAATTAAGAGTATATTGATACTATTTAAATGTATTATGATTTAGTGTTTTTTGTTTGATTCTGAAAAGATATAACTATGAAATAATAGTCATTGTATTGCCACTCTACAGTGATGAATATTAGTACTTGAAAAAGATATATATGCAAGATAAGTAGAACAGTTATAGCAAAAATCACAAAATAATATCAGTTTTAGGACTGAACATTATTTTTTCTGAAAGATGATTCTGCACAAAATATCTTTTAACAAATAGCATCTCACATTCAAACTATATATAGTTTGAAAATCAGTATATACATCATAATTACATCTTTATGAAGACTGTGATACAATCTTGGTAAGCTTTGTACAAAATTTTAGATTAAAAATAAATAAAAAATTAAAAAATACGTTATAAAATGTTCATTTATAACTACGAAAGGTAAATTATGAATGCATTCAAATGTATTGTTAAATATAAATAATGCTGATATATTAACCAGTCACAGTGGTATTATTCTTAGTTGGTACAAGTAAATACAAAGAGGTCTAGGTTATAAGGTTGATTTTTATAACTTTGATTGTCAAATTAAGGATTTGTAGGGCACAATACATCAGTAAAAACGATAGACAAAACAAAATATTTTTTCCAGCAGCGCCGCATACCTATCAAAGTACGTCGTCGCAACGACGAGGTTTTTCGATCGGTCTAAGTGGGAAAGAGACAATCCGCGAGAAACGTAACCATGGCAACCTACTCCATTGGAGATTGCAGTCTTGAAATGACGCTCTCTTCAAAATAAAATTTCACTGATCTCTGATATTTCATACGCGACAACAAATATAATAAGCCAAGGGAGGAATAAGTGGCAATACATAGCATCTCGGTTTCAAAAAAACTTACTTCAAGTAATAAACTTGAATTTGTCAAAGCTTCAGAAGGCTGGAAGACGCCGCCGCCGCCGCACAGACATTTATTCACATTTCTGTTTGGACGTGCACTTCGCAGCAAGAGTGTTCATCTGCACTGGTGCGGATGACCTTGCAAATATTAGCACTCATTGATGTACCGGTCTATATATAAAGCGATTGATTTAAAAACACTATAAAAATGGAATGTTCAGTGCGCGTTTTATCAAAACAGTGTCGACGGTGTAGTCATGATGGAGGCAACATTAGGCGGCCATGATGCTAGAAGCCAGCAGAGCGACCCAGTATCAGTACCCAGTGTTGGAATATGACGACAAGAGCGCCCGCAATATGCGGGGGCGGTTAGTGACACTCAGTACTACGCTTAAATATTCCACCAGTCGGTAATGTCGATAAGATAGTTTTCTTTTGCTCCCGCTAAATAATAAAATTCCTAATTCTTACATTGAACTAAATAAATATATAAAGATCGATTAACCTTTATGTCGTATACGCAATGTTTATAGAATGTTTTTATTATTTTTTGCATTAATAATTCATTAAAAGCTGATTTAACGTAGAAAATGAAAAAATATTTTTTATTTTTAAATTAGTTCTTAAAGTAATAATGGCAATAATAACAACTTCGTGTGACCATTTGAAAAATAACCATTGAACGCTAATTCATGCCTTTTATTACATTTTTCTATAAATTAATTTTTTAAATTTTATCTAACAATAATCTGCTAGTTAACCAGTATTAACTATTAACTTACAGATGAGGTTATTTTTCTTGCTTATGTAATTGTATATTAAAATTAAATTAATCTTGATTTTCAGACCCGTCCTCAGACGAACGGCTAGCAAACACTCGTATAGCTGTATGGTTGTGGGATGGTAGTTAAAAATAAATAAAGAAGAACCGATAAAAGGCATTGCATATAAGAGTGTCGAGCGTGGAAAATTGAGCGTTAAACTCGAGTGGTATATCGAGAGATATTGAATGCACAGTGGCAATATACAGGGTAGAGTAAAGGGAGACTTTTCCGCTGCAAGATCGTGCGAGTCGCTTTGAGATCAATCGATTGCTGCGAAGGCATACGCGTGGGTGATTCTAGCGGTCGCATGGGGACAAACAAGCAAGAGAGAACGAGAGATGGCCGAAAGGGAAAGCTCCCGTTGGAAAAGTGGCAAGCTGGCAAAAGATGGGCTTTATGTGCCTGTATTTGACCCGAGGGAAATCCAACTTGGTTTTATTGGCCTGGGTGTTTTGTTGTTCGAGCAACGTTGATTGAGCGGCTAGCTTCTGGCGCGTCAACTCAATTAGCGCGAGTTGTGATTGGAGTATCGAACACGAGGAACGCTACACTTGGTTGGCAAATCAATAGATCGTCAATTGAGTTGCGACGGCGCGGAAAAAGAAACTGAGTCACACGAGTACGCAGGAAACGCACGAGTGTGCAAGAACGCGTAGGAGGTGAGAATGAATGACCGGCTGCACTGGAGGATTTTGCAGAGAAGGCTGTGCGCTCTGCTGGAGAGCTGGCAGAGCAGCAGTATTTCGTGAGATTAATTAGCCGCAACGTATAGTCTAGAAAGCTAGGAAGAGAGATAGAGAGAGAGAGAGAGAGAGAGAGAGAGAAGAAATTAGTAAGCCTGGGTCAGGACGCATTCGTAGGACTCCCCTCGAGGGCGACGCCTTATATAACTTTAGTCTAAAGCTCAACAACGCTCGAAGCTGCAAAGATTATAGCCGCAGTATTCGACACGGCGCGAGATAAAGCAAGCGCAGCAGTAACACGTAGATACACACGAGATTAGCCGAGTTTGCTAGGCTTGCCGCCTCTCTCTCTCTTCCTCTCTCTCTCCCTCTCTCATTCGCTCTCACTCGCTGCTCGCTCTTTGCGCAAAGTGCGTGTATACAAAGCTCCAGCTACCTATTTTACTATATATAATAATACCTCCGCAGCTTGGTTGCAAGCATTGTACCACCGCGGCTTTTATTTGCCTTTTCATCCCAACATCGTCGTCTCTGCGCGCAAGCCTTTCTCACTAACACTGAGCCCTCTGCTGCTCTCCAAAAAGCTACTCAATCATTTTGCTTGTTTTTGTTGCTGCTTTGCCTGTCTCGAGCTCCACCTACTTCACATTCTCGTATCTGCACTCTCATTCTTCTTTTATCAAATATAAATTTTCATTAAGCCGATAGAGCAAGAAGCTGTTTACGAGCATATCAATCGATGCGCGTCACTATAGTACGCCAAAGATACCTAATTGCAGTATGCAAACAAGACAACAAAAAACCCTCCAGGATGCGCCTGTAAAAATGCATAAAGCGTTTATAGCTACTTTACGCCTCCCCCCCCCCCCCCCCCCAACATTCAACGCTTCAGACGATGCCGTTTTTTTCCCCCTCTTCATTTTCTCCTCGTTTTCTTTCGCGTCCATTCGCTCTACGCGCGGCATTTGCACCTGCTTTCCTTTTCTAATTTTTTTTTATCTCGACGATTTACATTTTTAAATGCCAAGTAGTCCTCCACATTTGTTAGAGTTCGCTGACGTTCGCTCATGAAAAATTGCAAGCTCACAGTTTTTCTATTTGTTCGCAAATAAATTATTGGATTCATGCTTGCAAGTTGATTCGAGATCAAGCGTTATTATGTATGGAAAGATGAAAATAAATAGGAGGCTGAAGATAGTTTTGACTACCAGCTTATTACCAGTGAGGATAATTTTTATAGAGAAATATTCATTGTGAAACTGCCAGGCGATAATTAATCCTGCACTATTGACGTGGGGTTTTCTAATTTTTCTCCGAAAATTCACCACCAAAAATTCTATAAAAAAAACGTAAAATCTATAAAAACAGAAAGTTTCTGGAAGTTGTCAAAGTCTTGGCTTAATTATATTACAGATATTCCAACAAAACGGGTCAAGTAAGCTTTCCGTGATTTCGAGATATTCAAGTTTTTACTTTACGCGAATATGTAATATCGACAAATAACTTGATAATTCATATTGGAATAAACTAATATATTTCAAATACTTAATGGTGTACTTAACTGCTTTGTAGAACATCGTGTACACTAATATATTGGGGTCTAAAGCTCATTTAGCTGTATAATATTCTGAAATAACCGATTATGTATTTTAGTCAATTTAATATAGCCTATATCAGAGTTTCTTTAGAGCGTACTGAAATGTTTAACAAGGATCGTCACGGTGAAGCATAACTTAGCATAAACTGAATAATATTATAACAATAATTATTTTATAACGAACACATTTAGATGTTTACTCGAGTTGGTTGGTTACGTCGGGAACGACTTTTACGAAATTAAATATTATATACTATTATATATTTATAACCTTTTATATTTATATTTTCTAAACATATGATAATATTTTTAAATATTGATTTTGTGATTAGCGCGTACAGACTTTGAATTAGATTAACCGATTCTACCGGGCAGAATTGTCATGAAAATCTATTTAACCAATTTTGCTTTATGAGTTCTGGTGATTCAGATTGAATTTCGACCTTGCATATGATATCTTTAAGATGGATTACTCATAGGACGAGAATCCAATATTAACTTAATTTTCATTGAATCCGAAGTTATCCCGTTCTGTTGGAATGTCTCCGGTGTAAAATTAACAATAGTAACTGTTAAGTTCTTTGAGAGTTCTAGCAAGATTTTTTTTGTTTACGTATAAAGGAAATGCTAGTAACTGTGGATTTATAATAACATGCAAACATGCCTTCTCCCTCTTGGTTCTATTTTTTATTACGAGTTGCGTGACCAGAATGGCCAGGCTCGTCATGATTTTTATTTAGTCATTGCACATACAGAGACATAACGTATGACTTGGTTCATATTATTTGCATACTTTTATAGCAAAGTGGCCTTCTGCAATCTGGCAGATGTGAAAGCACGGAATACGACCCTGAATTATAAATAGTAAAAATGAATAATGAACGTATGCAGGCTTGATATTACGAGTATATTACTTTTTCGCGGATCAAGATGAACTGCAAAAGTAATGTTTAAGATGAATAAAAGTTTTACAAAGCTTTTTTGAACGTCATACTTAGTCATAATAAAGCTTAGAATTGTAAATATTAATTAACAGTACTTTGCCCTTGTGACCTACTCATCAAAGCTTGTTATCAACGATGGCGAACTTTAATTTAGTTGAAGGAGAAGAGAGTCGTGGAATAGAACGGAACAGAAACGCATTCAACTCTCCGATGTTCAATCTCATTGAATTACATTGGATCCAATATCCTTGGAGCAGTCATCATTCCTCAGGCAATTGAACCTGGCTAGCTATACATGGAGTAATCGGCTCTTCCCAATTTATCAGCCCTTCGCAAATATCAATACAACAGGTCCAGCACTTCATTCAAATTTCCTTCCTACCTACCGAACCGGAAAAAGACGTTTATTCTTTGATTAATATTTTGTCTTTTTCTGATCTTGTAAAAATAAAAGTCAACTCTACGTTAAATATCTAATGTTCATATTATTTCGCTGCAATCACGCTTGCACTTCTTTATCAGGTATTTAGTCTCGAAAGATTGATCACTTACAGATCGTCTCAAAGGCCATCTCGTAAAAAGCTATACAAAGTTCTGCCTTGGAGCGGTACACCGAAGAAATATTGATTTTCTGAAACGATTGTTCCCCGAGGATAGGAATTTGTAAGCTCAAACTTAAGGCTATTTAAATGCGTAGGAGGACCTTATAAAAATGCTGATGGACGAGATATAGAAGGAGCAATTCTTATTTGCCGTGAAAACGAAAAAAAGGAGCACACCCTCCACGCCGCACGCGAGCAATCTCGTTCGCTCTTGATACATCCGCAAGAGTCTGTCCGAGTAACAAAGGCAGGCGTCGCTTAGTGATCCATATTTTAGTCTAGATTGGCATTCCAGCGGACGTCATTAGGCTCTCATCTACGTTTACGAGACATAGGGCGACGCTCTCGATGATGGAGAGAATATGACTTGTAAATTGAGCAGCAAACGAGCCCAGGATTGAGATTTACGAGATAGACGCGGAGAGACAGAGCGCGCGTAAAAGCTCAGAACGAGATACGAGAGTCGTTTACGGCTGCCAAAGAAAGCAATATTGCGTGGCCAGCAGCGGCGAAACATCAGTATTTGCTAGCTTCCTCGCGGGTCCCCGTAGCTCCGGCAACTAGCTTTTCGCTTCGTCTCTCATCTCAGTGGACGCGAGACTGA